TCCCGAAAGGGTAGACTATAGGAGTGCTTCTATAAAAGTGCTTCCGTATAGCTCGAGATAAAGCACTCCCATATAGCTGATAATACAGCATACGGGAGCGCTCAAGCAATAAGCAGTAAGCACTCCTCTTGCCTTTACATATGAGAGCATTCAAGCAAAGAGCACTCTCATGTGTAATTTAAGGGAGTGCTCTTTTGTAGGGAATAGTCTTCTTGTTTTATTTATAAGTCACTTCTAACATATTTTATTAGTATCAAGAAAAATCATAAAACTCATTAACTATGTCTTAAAATTTAATAAATTCTCAACTTTATCCTTATTAAATATACATATTTTAATAGCATATTTTCTCTCTCTAACATTCAATGGAGGGTAAAAGAAAAAATTTATAATGAAAATTTAATGACATGACTTATAAATAGAATCAAAAAAATTATTCTCTCTCTGCTCTATAAATAGAACTAGAGGGAGTACACAATACTATCGACATAATATAGTCAAAACTAAACAAAAATGACCAAAATATTATGAATAAATTATAGAGAGAATGGAAATGAGAAGATGAGGAGGAGGAGGAAAAGAATAGAGGTAATAAAAATGAGGATAACCTCTCTTATAATCTTTTTCATATTTACAATACAAATGACATGCCTCATTTATAGGTATAAACTTATATCAAGGGTTACACAAATGATAATGATAAATAAAGCATAATCAAAACTTATAATGGTAGGAGTTTTATAGGAGAAAATGAAGATGAAGAGACAAGGGAGATGGACATCCACATAATTTTTAATATTCATAACACTCCCCATTAGATGTCTATTATATAAAAATGTGTCTTATTAAAAACTTCGACTAGGAAAACCTTGTGGGACAAAAACCTAGCAAAAAAAAAAAGAGTACGTCATTCATTTGTACGCTATCCAATGTTGTCTTATTAAAAAACTTACTAAGAAAACTCAATGGGACAAAACCTTAATTAAGGGAAAAAGAATATAGCGCGTATTTGCTCCCCTTGATGACAACATGACTTTTAAACTATTGTACTTCAAGATAATATATTAATTTCTCAAATGCAACTATTGTCAATATTTTTCCAAGTAGATCTTACTCCTAGTCAAACCATGCTAGGTGCATTATCATATCTTAATGTATAAATATCAATAAATATATGGTGCTTCAGGACCAATCAATTTAGTATAGTCTCACAGAAAAAATAAACATGGCATAATGATTTTATAACCCTTGGGTATTAGATACTCAATCAATGAGTTGAATGTAAAATAGATATCAAAATTTTATTCTCAAATTATTTTAAACAAAACCTACGTTCAATACATATTGCTAAGACAATATATATACATATATATACTTGAATAATAATAATTCATACAAGCTTAATAACTTACACATGTATATATGTTGAATAAATTTTTTTGAGAATTTTTCATGCTTCTAGCATTTTAACTCCTTCAAAGATTGTCATGTAAAATGCTATAATAATATTCAATAGACATATCATATTTCAATTTCATATACCGCCAGACTAATAATATATACAAAAATTCACCACAAATACACCTAATCATCATTAGGCCTTTGTGAAAATCTTTATTTTCACATAAGTGTTTGTTTATCCCATAATAACATTTACATTTCAAGTATTTGGACTACATGTCCATGATTTTTACATATTGAAAATTAATATATTTCTATTCATATTGTGTCTTTCCTTTGCTTTTTTCTATTTGGCCAATCATCTTTTGTCTACTTTTCATTTAATCATGTGATATTATCATCAAAATTGTTGTTATTTTTTTCGGTTTCATTTTTCAAGTGTGACATAACTTATTGAGATCTCTCTTTATTACTTCCAAGTATCGGAATCTCTTTTGAAATTTTAGGATTAGCTATGTCATAAACCTCTTATGGAGTGTGTTTGCCTCCTTAGTATGATCATCTTAATTATAAGCTCCTCTTTTTATCAAGATTTTGTATTAGGAACTAATTAATCTCTCATGCTTCATGCATGATTTATTTTTATTTATTCTAATTAGAGCATTTTTAGCTGGAACAAGAAATTTAGTAATTTTCATACAAGTCAATGATTGTATCTAGGAATGCAACATTTGATAAACTCTTAGTTCATATTTTTATATGTGAGAATCTAAATAAGATATAGTGATAATGCATTCCATATATTTTCTTTTCAAGCTATTCATTTTCTCCCCCTTGTGTTAGGAAAACTTTGTCAAATGATAACAACCAACCAATCATGCAGTATAAGACTCCAAATCCATTTGTTTCCATTAAAAACATTTCTTTGTTTCATTCAAAACAAACAAGAAGGAGGAGATTCTTATCCAACATTTATCCCAACTTTTCATGAATAACCATCTATGTGTAATGTGGTGGAACAATAATAATAAGCATTGCATATTCAAAAATTCTAAGATGGCATATACTTGGCTTATGATCAACAGCCAATTTCAAAAAGGAAAAATTACAATACCTTATTGGTTTAATGTGTATTGTACTGTAATTCATAACATCAAATATTTTAAATTAACAATAAAAATTTTATTTTCATAAACATTGATCTAGCTATTTGTAGAGGAAGTTTTAACAAATGATTTACTAGATCAAGGCTTTTTCAAATTATGAAGCATAAATTCAATAGCATATTCCCAACTAAAATTGTCTGGATCACATAATTTGAAAATTATATGCTTTTACATAATGATTAATGTATATAATCTTACAAACTTCAAGTTGCAAAATTATCTTATAGATACATCTATCAAATTTATTGATACTTGCACTATTCACATGCTATCTAATGGGCACATATATTTGAATTTTTTATATTTTTAAAAATAGATAGATCTATTCTCAATCACAACCAGTGGACACCTCATCTTTTCTTTAAGAACAAGTAGTACATATAAAATCTTAAAATATATGATATGTTTTTTATTTATGAAAAATCTTCTAGTTCTTCAATAATGTCAATGCACATCCTCAATAACCATATGCATTATATATATATTAGAATGGAATGATCAAACAAGTTATGCTAGCAGTATGTAGTGGATCAATAAACTAGAAGTTTAATATAACAAAAATCCAATGTAAACTTTTCATTTTCCATAACATTTAATTGATTTATAATATCAATATGTATATGGGATCTATTGAATTTTGAGAGCAAGTATATGCGTGGTACTCAATCATGTATTAACTTGCATTTGTGCCCTTACAATCTTGCCCTCAAATGAAAATTACATAAACATAATTTCTCTATTATTGCATTTTGTAGACAATGACTTGTATATAGTAGACCAATAGCCTGCCTTTCATTAGAAAACCTGAGTGCTTCTTAACTTACACAAAATTATGAGTTTTAATTTGATTGAACTATTGTATTCATGTCCTTAGCAAATGAATCTCTGATATCTATAGCCATATCTTTCATCACTTATCCTTTTCCAACCACATAATGAAAGACATACATTTTAGTTTTGCAATAACTAATCAATTTTAAATTCAACACAGATTAATTTATAAATTATTTCATATTAAATAAAATAAATTAAAAATATAAATACAATTTTACACATATTGCAATGATTTTTGATATTTTCTTTAAAATTATGTGAAGATTAAATCAATATCAAATATTTAAATATTAATAACAATTAAGCACCATATAGGCTTTCATATATAGTCTTCTAGACTTAAACACCACATATCCTTTTAATTCTAAGCATCATCATCATATAAGCTCTCAGGCTTGTCATTTCCTTACAAAAACTTTTCCATGCATTTTCTTATATCATAACATGTGGCTTTGATCATTTTATAGTTACTTTCTACATTCATTAGTATCTCATTGCCCTGGTGGCTTCATAATCAATTTATATATTTACTTTCAATGAATTACTCATACATATTTGTCTATATGGCTTCTATCCATGTTGTAACATTCCCTCATAATTTTTATTTCAATGCCCATAAAATATTATTTTTCAACAATTATGGCATGACAATTATTCCTTTTAATAAAATTAGTAGGCAAGACAAAATATTGTTGGCTTTCAATTGTTTAATCACAATAATGCCATGTGACCATAGATATTATCACTCATGATATTTTTGAATCATGATCTTTATCACTTTCATAGATATTTGTCCATGCTTTCAACAACATATAATCAATTTTATTGAATATTAGTCTTAAGACTATAGCAAGAGTTTTTCAAATTTACACAACTCTTTGATATCTTTTGATGCTTGAATGATTAACCTTCACAGATGTAATATTTTAAGCGTACTTAGTTAAGCAAAATGCCATGAATTTTTCTTGTCTTTTACAAGGAAATCATTATCAAAATTGATGTGGCTTCTGGCTATCTAATCATATGATCAAGAATATTAAAAGTAACAATAATTCAATATTGCTTTTGAAGAACAATCAATTTCTATCAAACTGATAATCATAGTCATATCAAATATTAAAATGAATCTTAAAATCAATTATGAAATGAAAATATAAAAAATAATATTCTCATACCTCAATATGATGAATCTCCAACCATCCATATACCTTATTTGAAATTGCAAGGTTACCAGTCCCTCTAGAAAAATTGAAAAACTTCACCACACCATTTGGATGAAACTATCTTTATATGATGAATAGTGATCAATAGAAAATTTCTAGGACAATACATTAGACTCATTTGGTAGAGATTCGTGCTAATAATATGTTATGAGTAAAATATTGAGAGAATTCTTATCAAAAAAAAAAAATATTGAGAGAATTGTTGAAAAATAAGGGTTTATTGTTTTAGGCCTATTTTATTTGTAACCAAATGGGCCTGATTTGTTTGTTTTTTTAGGGTTATTTTCGTTTCTCATTTTTCTCATTTTTCTTGTTGCTTTGGGCTATATAAGCCGATTTAGGTGGCTTTGCCCAACTACTGGATTCAATCAAAGTTTCAGATCATACATAAAATTATTTTGTTCAGTTTGTTCTGGGTTTCTAACATGGTACCAGAGTCGGTTTGAGTCATATATCCCGTTTTAGTTTTCTTGAAACCCATCCACTTTCTTGCCCCTATTTCACTTTTCAGTCTTTCATCTTCTTGCTTCTCATTGCTGCTGCTTCTTTCGATTCATCTTGCCCTAACCCTTCCATCAATAATCTCCATCGCATTTTTCTTTTCTACCCACCATGAGTGAGACCTCAAATACTAAATCCTTAGCTTCTGCACTCGATTTAACCTATCCACTCTATCTTTACCCATCTAACACTCAAGCCACCAATCTTGTTCCTCAACCTCTCATCGGAACCACAAACTATGTGATCTGGAGCTGTGCAATGCAAATGGCTCTACGAGCAAAGAATAAAATCAGGATGGTAGATAGTTCTTACAAAAGAGACGCTCAGAAGGAGACTCTTCAAGATCAGTGGGATCATTGCAATGCCCTTGTCCTCTCGTGGTTAATCAACTTCGTTTCCAAAGAAATTACAGCGAGCATTACATTCTTCGAGAGTGCTCTTCTTGTATAGGAAGATCTGCATGAGAATTTTGACTGAACTAATGGAACGAAGGTATATAGTCTTTATCGACTCATTATTCTCATACCTAAGGAAACTTATCCATCTCAAACTATTTTACAAGACTCAAGGAGCTATGGGAAGAATATGCAACAATCATCCTAATACCTACCTGTAATTGCAACTCATCTGGGGAATATGCAAAAAATGTCTAACAACAGAAGCCATTTCAATTTTTAATGGGACTCAATACTCATATCAGCCTGTCAAGAGTCAAATCCTTCTTATGAATCCACTGCCATCGATTAATCAAGAATTCTCCATGATTTCTCAAGAGGAGGCACAATGATCAATATCTACATCCTCTTTTAACCAGTCAGAAGGATCTGCAATGATTATGAGAGGTCATGGCAGATTCAATCGAGGAAGATCTAGAGGAAATCCCAATGATGCATGTACATATTGTCACAAGAGAGGGCATGTAAGGGATAGTTGCTTCCAACTCATTAGATTTCCTCTAAATTTTCAAGGAGGAAGAGGACATAACATTCAACTCAAGCAAGTAAACCATGTTGAAGGCAACATTTCAAAATAGAACCATACTTCATCCGAGCAACAATTGCTATCACCAAGTGAGTACAAGAGAATTATTGACAACCTGAAAAAGGAGATCAAGACATTATCAATCACTCAATCATCGGTAGGAGCAATTACTTCCACACATCAGGAAGAACCCTCAGGTATAAATTATTTTACATTATCTTCTAATAATAAAAACCAAGCACAATGGCTTTTGGATTCTAGAGCTACTTGTCATGTGGTTAGTCACTTGTCATATCTTGATTACTTTGAAGAATATACTGGACCCCCTCTTAAAATCAAAATTCCTAACTCAAAAAAATTGTTAGTCACACACACTGGGACTGTTAAGATTTCAGATGATTTCATTTTAAATAATGTTTATTATGCTCCTGGAATATGTTATGATCTGATATCCATATCCCGCCTTACAGATGAACATAAATGTGTGGTCATATTTTTTTCCTAATGTATGTGTCTTGCAGGGGCTTTACAGTGGCAAACTGATAATGATTGGTAGAATAAGCTCAGGGTTATACATTGTAGATGAAAGCTCTCATTTTTCTAATGCATTTACTAAGAATGTCGTTTTTGATAGAAACATTTGGCATCTAAGACTGGGGCACCCTTCAAGCTCCACTCTCAAAAATGTTACTTCGCTTCAAAACAATTTACTTCCTTCCTCTGATTTAGCTTAGTTTGTATTTGTTTTAATCAAAGAAAACTCATCTTACATTTCCCATTAGTGAAATAAAGTCTCAATCCTATTTTGATTTGCTACATGTTAATGTTTGGGGACCATACAAAATTCCTACTCATCAAGGATACAAATATTTCCTAATGATAGTAGATGATTTCTCACGGGTTACTTGGGTTTATTTGCTACATAATAAACAGGAGGCCTTATATCAATTGAAAATTTTTTTTAGTCTAGTTAGAAATCAATTTGATGCTAAAATCAAAAGGATTCGAAGTGATAATGGTTCAAAATTCCTTAATCATGATTTATCTATATATTTTTTAGAAAATGGCATTTTACATGAAACTACCTGTGTTTACACTCCCTAACAAAATGGGGTTGTAGAAAGAAAACATAGACATATTTTAGAGGTTTCTAAAAGTTTAATATTTTAGGCTAACATTCCACTTAAATTTTGGGGGGAAGTTATTAGAACTCCAGTTTATCTAATTAACAGATTACCTTCTAAAATCCTGAAATACAAGACTCCTTATGAAATATTATTTAAAAAGGAACCTAACTTGTCCAATTTGAAAGTGTTTGGTTGTCTTACTTATGCCAAAAATATAGGAAGACTAAATAAATTTGAACCCATATCAGATACTTATGTTTTCTTGGGTTATCCTAATAATAAAAAATGATATATTTTCTATGATGTTAAAAATGACAATATATTTATGAATTGAGATATTATTTTCCTTGAAAACAAGTTTCCCTTTTCAGATGCAGAGCCTATCAATTAGAATTCGAGTATGGTAAGCTCCCAAGATCCTTTCATCTATGGTTATAATATTTTTCCCAATTATTTTGACAATACCGATATACCTAAGCCAAATGTCACTGATCCTGTTTCTAGGAATTCTTATAATGATCCTGAAATACCTGATCCTGTTTCTATAAATTTTGATAATGATATTTCACTTCCTCCTAATTCCTATACCAATTCTAATATTGTTGGACATAATGATGATCATTGTATAGTTAGAAATACTGATACTTTATCTAGAAATGAGAATAACGATAGACCTTTTAGAGAAAAAAGAGCCCCTATTTGGCTTCGTGACTATGATTGTTCTGCATTAGAATTTGTAAACAAGATCGATAAGAAAGGAAATAAGAAAATTTTATATCCCATACAACATAGTATTAGCTATGCAAATATATCAGCTTCATATAAGAAATTCATAGCCTGTACCAATGATATTGTTGAACCAAACACTTTTCAAGAAGCTATAAAGGATAATAGATGGGTACAAGCTGTAAAAGATGAGATAATTGCATTAGAAAGAAACAAAACATTGGAAATAGTTAATTTGCCTCTAGAGAAGAGGGCAATAGGATGTAAATGGGTCTTTAAGAAGAAGTATAATGCAGATGGCAGCTTAAATAAATTAAAAGCATGACTTGTTGTTAAGGGATATAGCCAAATAGAAGGCATTGATTATTCTGACACTTTTTCACTTGTTGTTAAAATGAATACTGTGTGTTCTATATTGGCTATAACTACTAGAAACAGTTGGGACTTATATCAAATGGATGTTGACAATGCTTTCTTGTAGGGAGATCTCAATGAAAAAGTATATATGAAGATCCCTTTAGGATTTCACAAGCAAGGAGAAAAGAAGGTCTGTAGACTAAGTCTCTTTATGGACTAAAGCAGGCTGCAAAACAATGGAATACAAAGTTGTGTGAAGCTTTAATCACTGGAGGTTTTGTGCAGAGTAAATTTGACTATTCTTTATTTACTAAGAGACATGGAAATGAGTTTACTGTTGAGTTAGCATATGTAGATGATCTTGTAATAACTGAAAATAGTAATAAAGGGATAGAAGAAACAAAGCAATATCTGCATGATAATTTTAAGATGAAAGACCTAGGGCTGTTAAAGTATTTTTTAGGAATAGAAATAGAGAAAATAGGTAAAGGGTTAATTCTAAATCAACATAAGTATACTTTAGATTTGATTGCTGTTACAGGGCTTGGGGGTTGTAGGCCTAGCAATATGCATATGAACCCAAGTTTGAAACTTTACAGTGTTCCTAAAAAGGGAGAGAAAGATGATTCTTTAATTGATCCTTCTAGTTATAGGCGTCTAATAGGAAAGTTACTATATTTGACCACTACTAGACCTAATATTGGTTATTCGATTCAGTTATTAAGTCAGTTCAGGAAAATTCTAAGAAAGTCCCATCTTAAGGCTGCATTAAATATTGTAAAATACTTGAAAAAAGACCCAGGTAGGGGTATATACTTTCCTTCTTCCGAAAATATGACATTAGAGGGGTATTGTGATTCTGATTCGGCTTCTTATCCTGAGTCTCATAGGTCTATTACAGGTTATTTAATCAAGTTATGAGGAGCTTTTGTTGCCTAGAAATCTAAGAAACAATCTACTGTCTCATATTCTTCGGCTGAGGTAGAGTATGGGGCTTTAGGAAGTATTGCTTTTGAAATTATTTGGTTAAATGGTTTGCTAAGAGAGCTGGGTGTTACTGATTTAATTCCTGTTTTTGTATATTGTGACAACAAGGTTGCAATACAGATAGCTTCCAATCCAGTTTATCATGAGAGAACAAAGCACATAGAGATCGATTGTCATTTTGTGAAAGAAAAGCTATAGGAAGGGTTGATTTTTTAAAGCATGTAATGTCTAGAGAGCAGCTGGCAGATATATTAACAAAGGCTCTTGGAAAGAAAGTTATGATAGTTTATTATCCAAGTTAGGCACCCTAAATATTTTGGGTCTAACTTGAAGGGAAGTGTTGAAAAATAAGGGTTTATTGTTTTGGACCTATTTTATTTGTAACCAAATGGGCCTGATTTGTTTGTTTTTTCAAGGTTATTTTCGTTTCTCGTTTTTCTTGATTTTCTTGTTTCTTTAGGCTATATAAGCCGGTCTAGATGGCTTTGCCCAACTATTGGATTCAATCAAAAGTTTCAAATCATAAATAAAATTATTTTGTTTAGTTTGTTCTGAGTTTCCAACAAGAATGGAAATGAGAAGATGAGGAGGAGGAGGAGGAGAAATAATAAAGGCAATAGAAATGTGGATAACCTCTATTGTATTCTCTTCCATATTTACAACACAAATGACATGTTTTATTTATAGGCATGGACTTATATCAAGAGTTACATAAATAATATGACAAATAAAGCATAATCAACACTCATAATAGTGAGAGTTTTATGGGACAAGATAAAGATGAAGAAGAGCCAACGGAGATGGAGTAATTCTTAATATTCATAACACAAAAGAATATTTATACATATGTGTGTATAGTCTCACAAACTCACATATATACAACAAACTATACTTTCTTTTTCCCTCCTTTGTAATTTTTTTCTCTTCTGTTCCATTTGATCTGTCCCCGCAAACAAACGAGACCTGTAATCTTTTGTGATTAGGCATCTGAAACGGAAGGAAGGGACAAGTGAGCCATATTACAATTAAGTCCTGATGTCCTTCCATATTTTTACATATATGATCAAGTAGGCACTCCCACTCCCATTTGAAATCCTAATGGTTACATTACTGTAACGAAGCAAAAGCCAAGCGCTTTGTTCCGTTTTCGTTTTCTGGCGAACAAGATATTCTGAAGGCTGTACGTAGCAACACAAGCAACTAGGAAAACAGAAATGGGATGAGACAAGATACAAATACCAGACTTCAGACCCAGATGATAAATAAGGATAAGTCATGGAATTTCCTAGTTGTGTGTCTCTCAATCTTGTGGATCGATCCGTCCCTGAAGTCTTCACCACCTAAATCTGGACCAGATGTTTTAGGAATCAATGACAGTATTCGATTTTCATGAGGATTGTGTCCCAACTGAACTGAGGAAGTCACTTGAGGAGTGTTCTCAGTGCCTCCACCGGAAGAAGTCAATGCTGCGTCCCAAAGTAAGACGTGCATCAGAACGGGAACTCTGGCGTGACGGTGCAAGGAAAGCTTTTGGGCTATTGAAACGGTATCATAACACCGAATGGCCCCTGTTGAAGACACCATCCACGGAAGCACTTTCTGGTTTGACACTCTCGAGACTACCAGCAGCCTTGAAGTCTCTGTTGCTATTTTGTATAGATTGCACAGACCTGACCTTGTACTGGGCAAGTTCTCTTCATGATCAGTCACCGATGAGATGAATATAAACCCCTGTATAGGAAATGTTAATGGTAGGCCCAAAAAAAAAAAAAACTTAAAAATAGTATTTAGTTCATCGACTCCAGAGATAGAGAGACCTCTTCTGTACGGCTAATGGCAAAGCCGAGCTTTGAATCACGCTCTTGCAGTTCGATCTCCACAGAGAGCTCTCCCCCAATTGGAGCATACCACAGGCGAACTGCTCTTAATAAGCCCATGTCCATGAAGCGGTGAAAACTTTCATTTGCTGCAAGGTTTGACAAGTCTGTTAATGACCTTGTCTCTCCAGAGATCTGTCACTCAAATGCAAAAAATGTCAGGTAAATGCACGCCATGATGAACAGGGACTTGGTAGATATTAATTAATAATTACCTTGGTCAGCAGAGTTTCGGTTTGGATGCTCACAAACACAATAGGTATCCCTGAATTTTGAGCAGCGTGAAGCCATGCATTTGCCCTGGCTAGAGTGTCCTCTAGATCATTGTAACGGCAAGCCTCCTGATCTGAAGCTTTTGGCAACAGTAATATTGAAAGAAAGTTGCCAGAATTGGGAATCCCTGCCAACTCCTGCATGCTCCTTTCCCATGGATATGACACATGTCCATCTTGAATCCGACTCTCTGTCACAGCATGAACGAGTACAATCCATTGTTTTCCACGTTTAGACTTCCAAATTAAGTTTGTGGCTTAACTTTGTTTCCAAGAAAAATACATCAACACTGATTTGAAAACTAAAATAGAATTTTATCCTTTTTTTATGATGATCTCAATATTCAAAATCTTCAAGGTCAGATCATGCAACATACCTGGAAGCTTAGCTACCATCTTCATGGCCTTCAGCTTTGCTTCGTCATCATGCAAGTCCGACTTCAGCACGTCTTTCTGCGAAAAAGGATCAAAAGGCATGCTAGAAATAAGATTTAATAAGAGATCAAAAGACCCAACAAAACATGCGGGAAAATGATTCTCCGAATGCAATCTGAATTCAGAAAGGGAAATACTATCATTCAACAGTACTTTTGCTTGTTATTGTCTTCCTTGAAAACAAACGAGAGGTCAGGCACTCAGGCCAGGAAAAAAGAAAGAACAAAAAAAAAGAAAACAATGGAGAGGAAGAGAAATTAATGGGCAAGCTAGAAAGAAAGAAAAGGCGCCTTACCAAAGTCTCTTTCTTTCCAGGTCGAACATCATCAGCCGCTGATGAATCTATTATTACGGCCTCCTTGTTTCCAGTAAAAGTGTTGTTTGAGTCAAGATTCTTTAATAATTGTAATTGTAATGTATCTTTCAGATTCAGGAAAATTCACATATTTATATAATTTTTCATAATGAAAAAAATAATTAAGTAAAAGGGAAGAAAAAGACGACGTACCAAAGTCTCCTCGTTATTGGATCTGGAAGATTCATCGCCATCTTTTTCATTATTAGAAGTTGAAAATATGTCAGCCTCCTTATCAATATTCTCAACCTGAAATAAGTTGCAAACTTTATTCCCTGAATATTTCATCATTCAAGGTATTTAATTTTAATTAAAAACTAAATATGGTGAGGAGACTTAAAAGTCACAAAAATATCCCACCACCATCTGTTTTAAATTTCCTTAATCATTAAAAAAAAAAAGAAAAAAATATAACTTTGAACCCTTGTACTTTGCTTAAGTTTTGCTATAGGTCCTTGCATATCTTTTTCGATGTTTCGAGTCTCTACACTTTTTTTCCTCGATGTTCTAGATCCCTATAACAACCATCATCTGTTTTAAATTTCCTTAATCATTTAAAAAAAGAAAAAATATAACTTTGAGCCCTTGTACTTTGTTTAAGTTTTGCTATAGGTCCTTGCATATTTTTTTCGATGTTTCAAGTCTCTACACTTTTTTTTTCCAGTGAACTAGGTCCCTCAATGACCGTTGTTATAGGGATCTAGAACATTGAGGAAAAAAAGTGTAAGGACCTGAAATATAAAAAAAAAGGTGCAAGAACTTACAATAAAAATTAAACAAAGTACACTGACCAAAAGTTATGTTTTTTTTTTTTTAAAAAATCATGTAATGATGATAATAGATTTAAGACAAGGCTTTCACTTCTTAAGAAATTTTAAAAATTGAAGTGCAACATTTAAAATTTGGTTGCAAAAGTAGTAATCAATATAAATCATCAACATAAAATTTAAAGTCTATATCAAATTTGTGTACAAAAGAAGTAATCAATATCAATATAAATCATCACCATAAAATTTAAAATCCACAATTTATAAAATGCATACTCCACTACACAAATTTCAATGTATAAAAAACGTGTCTAGTTATCGTATAATTTACTCAAATTATGCAGTTTTGCACATGTAAACTCACAGGGTAATTAATAGCAAAATGACAATCAGAAACCAAATATTCTTACCCAAACCTCCTTTTCGTTGGACACCGAAGATTCTTCAACTTCAAGTAATTGATCAACGATGTCAGTCTCCTCATTAATAGGAATAAACAAGTGATGCAAATAATCTGGACAGCCTTCTTTTCCCCACTCTGATTCTTCCCATTTTAGAGCGTCCCACCACTCCTCTTCTCCTTTGATGACCGCTAAATTTTTGCTCAGAAATTCCTTAGCTGAAAGAATCTGGAGTTTGGGACAGTCGTAAAATAATATTCTTTCTAAACTTGGCCCAATACACAATCCACTTGAAATGCTAATTAATTCAGGAAGATAAAGAAGTGATACTTTCTTCAAGCGAGGAAGGAGACTCCCTTCTCCAGGTTCAAATGAGTCGCGACTTATTAAGGTCCTTACTTTTGGGCAATCTTCAACTATTAGCTCCTCCAAGTTTACAAGACTGTCAAGAAAATTCAATGTGAAAATACTTGTTAGCTTAGGGCAATTGTGCAAAACCACGGTATTTAATGAGCGAAAAGAGGCTTCCGCTTGGCAAATGCTTCTTAGATTGTTCATGTAGAATAAACACAAGAATCTCCAACACAAATCTGGAGAAATTGAACCTCCCTCATCAATTATTGTTTCCATTTCATTACATTCTCCCACAATGAATGATTGCAAATGAGCTAAACACCCCATGTCAAATTGAGAAAGATTCTTGATGGTACTATGTCGCTCCAAAAATAGAGCCTCACTTCGTTGAATAACCTCAAAAATTTCATTTGGTATGTCCACACCATTTACAAATCTTAAGCTGCAACTGATTTGCTTGAATTTTGACTCAACTGCAGGCGGTACACGTGATATGATTCTCTTCTGGATAAGATTACCAACAACAAATCTAAAATTAAAGTACTTTGGGACATACTTCAAAAGCTTAACCTGTGGGATATATAAACTCAAAGTATTCAGTTTCTTTAATTTAGAAATGTCGCGTATTATAACTCCAATGCTTTCACGCCACTGCTTGTTGCCAGGATTGACATCAATGCTTAAATAAAGCAATTGAGTCAGTTTAGATATTACCCCAGGAGGAACCGGATAATGTAGGCTTTTTGTCATGTCATGGCAAGCATAAAAAGATAAGATCAACTTTTTCAACCTCGTCAACTCTCGAATCTGTTCTGGAATATATGTAATTGGAGTACTATCAAGATCAAGAATCTCAAGATTCTTAAGTTGTCCAATTTCTGGTGATAATTCCATAAAGCGCTTGCATCCCTTGAGATGCAATTCTCCAAGCTCCCCTAAGCTAAAAAGAGAACTTGGTAAACTCCTGATGCTTGTGTAGGACAAGTCCAGGACATGGAGATGAGGCATGAAACGGAAAAATAAGCGTGGAATTTCCATCAAATTGGCATTGCCTTGTAATAATAGTTGAGTCAATTGCGGGCAATCAACGGTCTGTGGTAGGTCTGACAATTTATTGTCCATTAACTCCAGACGTCTGGCCAAAAGCCATGCTCCAGTGATTTGTAGCTCAGTCAATCCTAACCCACCTTTCTTTATTGTGTCTAATGGGTACAGCATGAGCAAGGACTTCAAGACATTGTAGATTTCTCTTGGCCATTGAATATACTTATGTTCAACTTTAAGAAAGATACAACGATGCACAAAATCTCTGAGGATATGCTCTGCTTCTTCTTGTGAGCACACTAATTTATTATATACCCAGCTGGATATTATGAGATGGTCCGCCATAGTTTCTTCAAGGCTGAGTACATATAAAGAACATGCAAGGCAAAGCTTTTCTGTTTTGTTCAAATTATTCCAAATGATGTTTACAAAAGCATTCACCATGATTTTACTCATACCATAATCAATTCTGGCAGCATGTAAAGGATGAAGGTAGCACAATTTCTGTAGGGCAAGTTTCCAGATTTCAACATCTTCGATGTTCTTCAATGATCTTGCCAGAAGAACAATGGCAAGAAGATGGCCTCGACACTCCTCAACTATTTGTACTGCAATTCTTTGGATGTCATTAGATGATGATACAAGTTTCCAACCTACGTTTCTGCAGAAGAGTTCCCATGGCATCAAATGATCCTCTGTCCTGATTTCCAAATCCATTGCCATTAATAATTCATCATGTTGCAGCACTGATGATTCAACGGTTAATAACACCACAACGCCTGTGAACATTTTCTTAGGAAAACCCACTTTCCAGGGGTCAACTTTTCCTTTGCCATTCCCATCCACCAAAAACACTAAATGATTCATTCTCATCATCTCAACTTCAATGAGTCGTGTGAGTAAAATTTCACTTCCTATCTGATCCCCTTTGCCTGTCAAAAGGTCAAGCTGTCGTGCAATCTCTTCCCGAACCCAAGCTTCTTTGTTGCTTGAATACGTTGATGTGTAAACCCATAAAACTCTGGAATATTTGTTACTAATTCTAGTTCCATAGTACTCAGCATCTAAAGCTGATTTTATTTTTCTTGCCACATCTATTTTTTCAAATTCATTTCTTGTTGAGAACATGACATGATGAGTGTTGTGAGTAAGTAAAGTTTGAATCAGTTGATCAACAGCAAGATCAGCAGCTAAATTGAGAATAGCTTCTGGTATCACATTATGGACATAACCCAATTCAAGCACTTTTTCCCCTTTACTTGTGCTGGCAAAAAGCAATGCCTCTCCTGATAGAGTCGAGGCATTTTCATTGAAGATGCATCTCTGACCTTCTTCTATCCTACTTAGCAAGTCATTTGGCATCAGTGCTTCCATATTTTTTAATGGCTTTTCAGAAAGCAGATGCATCCATCGGTAAGCTCCAGATATGTTTAAACCAAGGCAATCTGTGTCTTCAAAATATTTGGCAGTAAGGGCTTGGGCATCATCTCTCCATTTTTTTGACAAGTGTTGGTCTGGCATTATCATCGGATACATTAAAATCAGGCTCAAAAAATCCCTTATCCTCAACAGCTTCAAGAATTCATGCTTTAGAATCTCCTGAAGTCCATACCATTGCTGATGCTTTGCCTTTGTGATTTCCAACCCATATTCATCTTTGTCTTTGACTTCAGAACTCATTTGTTTGCTTACCTCTATCCTCTCGAAGAAACGCAATAGAGGAATTTAAAATAGTAAGAACTGAAAAGAAAAAAGGTTTACAGCATAATAAGAAGTGATATATAGGAAATTCAATTAGCAATCAAATGATTATTTGGCATTATTTAAGTTGAGGCTAAATTAGAGACAAAAATTACAGTGTTCTTATGTTTCATATCAGTTCTCAGCATCTTGCTCAAAAATAGTCATCTCCAAGGGCTATAAGTATCGGATAGGATTCTGCGTAGTTTAAACCGACTCCAAAAATGAACGACATCTGTTAAGGGAATTTTGTTTCACTTCAACTTGAGATTTACGTTATGCTGCTTTAGCCCTTCCTCTTATGATAATTATTGTATAAAACTATAAAGTTACCAGTCAGATACTGCAAAATAAGAAGATGAAGTGAAAATTCATCAGGTGAAATGAAAGCTATACTCAATTAACACGTTTATCATGTTATAGATAAGCAAGAGATGTTATCTTCAAAGCTGAAAAGCAGAATTTTTATATGAAACTTGAATGCAACTGAGTAACAAAATCCTCTACACTGATCCAATTCCATATTCCATATGAATATACAAAATAATCAACTCCACCAATTGCCGAAGCTCATAAATAATATGCCTCTCAAATCAACCTCACAAACAGCAACTACAAAGGGATCCAGCAAATGTTTACACTTCTTGATAGACACTTAGACACAATCTACAAAATAAGTAAATAAATATAAAAGCATATCTTCAGCAAAAGCAAATTCAGGGCACAAACTTTTAAAGAAAGAGAAAAATTTGACGAATGACAGTAACAAACGTCAAGTAGTTTCAAGAAAAATTGTAAGAAATATAACATAGGACGAAGAAAACAGAGACAAGGTACCAACCGTAGAAGTTAGCCCAACCCAAGGAAGGAAACTATTTGCTTGATATCGCTTTTTCTCACACCTTCATTCCCATAGAAACATCATGTCTTGCAAGGAAGGTAGAGTCAACAGAGGATGAAGCAAAAGACAAGACAATAGTGATTAGACGGATATGCGGATCTTGATCGGTCCAGATTCATATATATATATATATATATATATATATGTATAAGATTAAAAATATTACGATGTGAAAATTTTGGATTTCCTCTATGACTTTTTAGTTTTACACTTGCAACTTTATTACTCCAACCGTTTATACTAATTCCGACAACTCAAATTTTATTTATATTATTATCACAATTTTACTCAAGAGTACTCCAAAGAAATACTTACTCAACGGTAAAAACATTGCTAAAGTGTTGGCCAATAAAAAGAAGGAAAAATCACAATCAAGGACCGCTAGAGAGAATTAATTACACTATTGGACCAAATGATTCTAATATTATTTTGCAAGACCAAAAAACCTAAATGATATTAAAATTTGTTGTGAAAAAACGAAACCACCCCTAATGTATATTTATTGTGTTAGGGGAATTGATTGTTGTTAAGATGTGAATGAGCTTGTTTTTTTTCGAATGGAGACTTGTTTATCAGATTACAACAATTTCTCTATCAAATTAATTTTTTTAGAATTGTTAATAAGGGAACTGATTATTGTTAAAATGGAAATGTGACTTTTTTTTCTCAAATGGGAACCTGTTCACTGAATCACAACACTTATTCTTCTCCACCACGAAATTAATTTTTTGGAGTTGTTAATAAGATAATTGATTGTTATTAAAATGGAAATGGGATTTATTTTTTCTCGAATGGAGATTTGTTTATCAAATAACAATACTTATTCCTCTCCACTACCAAATTAATTTTTTAGAGTTGTTAATAAGAGAATTGGTTATTGTTAAAATGGGAATGTCACTTTTTTTTGAATGAGGAGTTGTTAAAAGAGTATATAATATATATATATATATATATATATATATGAAGGGTAGTTTTATCTTTTCACAACAAAGGTAGATCCTTTAATCCTATAAAGTAATATTAAAATTATTTGGTCATGCAGTGCAATTAATTGTCTCCAGTTTGATCCTTAACTGTGATTTTCCCTTAAAAGAATTGCTAAAGATGTATAAAGAAAAAGGTCATATTAGATTAAAATAAATTATTCGAAACAATTTTCATTCATATTTTCTGTATATCGAAATATAAATATAATAATAGATTAACCATCTCTTATTAAATAATTATTGCAATTGACTGGCATATTTTTTTAATTATTTTTCTTAAGAATATCCGCATTTTAGCATAAATGATAATCTCCAACGGTCGCTTGTTTCAGACATTAAGAGAGCATCATATTCGAAACAATGTTTTGGATGTTTTGAAAATGAAACCATGATATCAATGGCCTTGTAACCTAGTGATATAGAAACTTTTTTATAAGTAGGAGGTTGTGAGTTTGATCATGTTTGTAAGGCCATTAGTGTCTGTCCCTTCAATTAAAAATAAATAAATAAAACCCTGGTCACTTATTCCAAAACTGTCCTTTTCTAAAGATTCGGCTATCTCAACTTCTTCATGAAGCTGACATTAAGAAAGTTTCTTCGTGTAATGTACGAGCGATTTTTTCTCTCTCTTGGATTTCATACTTGCTCAAACTCTTAGTCTCATGGAAGATATTGGGCAACGTAAATCATCACTGGATCGGCCCTTCGACACTATTAATGAGGGAAGAAATAGGAAAAAGAAATTAGAAGAACCTCTCCAACTCATAATGGATGATCAAATGAGTGACCGTGAACAAGAAGCGGATGAAGCAAGAACAGAAAACAATGGTTCAGAGGCAAAGGATAAAGATTCATTGAAAGCTAAAGACGCACCGAAACATCTATCTTACAAGGCATCCTTGCTGAGCTTCAATGGAGTTGTGAACAGTGGATCTCTATATGACTAAGAAGACATCCTAATAGATGAAGATGATATCTTCTGGAAAATGCCAGAACTAGATGAATACATGAAGAAACTCATGAAGGTATACCCAGTAGTTCCTATTACACTGGAGGAATATAACAACTAGTGCAGACTCTGGAATTATGGGCTAGTTCTCATTATTTTGGGTAGACGTTTCAGTCTATCCACTCTTAAGGAAGGCCTTCGACATATGCGGGGCACTTTGGATTTTGAGATGGTCAATCTCCTAAATAACTACTTTGTAGTTAGATTCACTAGCAAAGATGATTGGCAACACCACTATATGAAGGTCTCTGAGTATTTAAACAACACTGCTTGCTAGTATAAAAATGGACTCCTTATTTTGATCCTTTTTAAAACCCACTTCACAGAATCGTTACGTGGGTATGCATTCCACATATCCCAACACACTGCTACAATAAGCATTTCATCTCAAGATTAGAAGACAGAATCAGCCGAACCTTGAAGGTTGATCTAAAAACGCTTGCTAATTTTACAGCCCAGAACGCCAAAGTTGAACTGGGCAATTTGCACATATATGTGTCAAACTTGATTTACAGAAATAGCTAGTCCCTCGAATTATTGCAGTTGGTTCCTTATTTAACATAGAGCATGAGGGACTCAAACTCATATGTTTTGCTTGCAGGAGATACGGCCATTGTCGGGAAGCGTGTCCATAGAAGTGCAATTTTGATAAACAAATGCATGAATGCGCACATTCATCATCACCCAGCTCACCAGCATCAACACTATTGGAGAAAAAATTTCCGACGACGGATGAGATATTTGGAACCTGGATGTCCCATTCACATCTCCAAACCCAAAAAGCTCAAATCTCAAGACACAATAAGCAGAGAGAAACTCAAAGCAAGATGCAGGCCTATGGCAAAGTAGTCGAAAAGAAGTCAATTTTGAGCAAAAATCCAGATGTGCTGTTATCAAGAATCTTAGAGAAGAAGAAGATCTAGATGGAATCTCAAGAAGTAAAGAAAATAAGGAAATTGCCAGGTCTAATGCCACCATTCAAAAAGCTATCATTACTAAGGATCCCAAGCCTTTGACTTTGCCTTTGTCCCACGAGAAAGATAAACAAGCTTTTAGTCAAAGATTTGAATTTAGGCCTAAGCCCACACCCAAGCTAAAGGAAAAGAAAACCTTAAGCCCCCAACCCATGGACTAACTTTAAACCCAATCCACACCTCCCCAATAAAGCCTTTTTAATGAGGCTGATTTTCCACCTCTAAATAAAAAAAAATTCTTCTAAGAATAATATGTAGAGAGAGCACGTTATGGTCCGTGGCCAACTAGGCCAGATGAGTGACTGTGAGGAAAAAAAGTCCAGGTTCAATGTGATCTCTGATGTTTCAAATGCTAAACAAGCTGAAGCCCCTATCCTGCCTCCGTCATCTCCATCCCTAACTAACCTATCCAAACCCATGATCTCACCAACCCCTACCATATCTTGCACCCAAAACATACCAAGCATAACCCCAACAATTAAACTACCTAACCCCCAACTATCATTCATCACATAAGGGAAAGGTCCTTAGGATAAAGGTATAGTTGCTGTAGCCAAATTGAAGTTTGAAGGCTCTAAAAGCCCTGTTCAATCGAGGATGGATCAGTGAGTTTTCACTCCTCTACCTTTTTAGTTTTATAATCATTGTATCATGGAATTGTAGGGGTGCTGGAAGCCGATCTTTCCCCTTAACCATTAGAGATATTGTGAAAAGAAATGCCATTGATGTTTTATGCTTAATTGAAACAAGAAATAGTGGCCATCGTGCTAATTCAGTTGTCAGAAAATTGGGTTTTAGTAATTGGATAGGTGTTGAAGCTACAGGCTTTGCTGAAGGTATATGGGTTCTTTAGAATCAAAATACTACTTCAATTGAATATTTAGCCTCTACTGTTCAAATTCTCCACTGTAAAATCATTGAGTTCCTCCAGTTCTAGTCTCTTTGCTACTTTTGTCTATGGTGAGACAAACTATATCAAGCGTAAATTACTGTAGGCTTCTATCTCAGCTATTTCTGAATCCACTGAAGACCCTTAGATTATCATGGGTGATTTTAATGCTATCAGAAGCCAGGGAGATAAAGAGGGAGGGGTAGCACCAAACCCTCTATCTATGGAACATTTTAATAATTGTATCCTTGATAGTGGCTTGATAGAAATGAGTGATCTTAACAATCATTTCACATGGGAGAAAAATGGTGTCATAGAAAAACTAGATTGGGTTCTTAGCAATTACAATTGGCTTACCTCTTTCCCCCACTCACGAGTCTACCATGACTTAAAGTTCAAATCAGACCACAAAATTATTATTCTACACACAGCCTCCAAGATTCATCGGCCTACCCATAATAGTAAATTTGTGTATCAAGCTACCTGGGCTATTGAAGACTCCTTTAAAGATGTTGTTTCTTATGTTTGGAAAGATTATGACTAGGAAGAGGGACGCATTATTTTCTAAGAATTAGCTAAAATCTGGAATGAGGATCATGTTGGGAACATTCTTAAATAAAAGAGACAAATTCTTAGACGGCTTGAGAGTATTGATAGAGCCAAGGCTTCTAATTTAAATAATGGTCTTCTTAAGCTAGAAGTCAAACTATAGGAGACTTATCACAAATTAGAGGCTCAAGAAAAACTTTTATAGTTCAAAAAATCCCGTTGCAAGTGGTTGAAGTGGGAATATCATAACACAAGATTTTTCCATGCTTTTACTATTATCAAAAGAAAACGTCAGATAATTTCATCCCTCCAAGACAGTAATGGCACCTAGGTTAGTGATGAGACCTTATTTATGAATATGGCAAGTAATTTCTTCTCTGATCTCTATACCTCCGACCCAAATGTTATTCCCCATCTTGAGATGCCTTCCTTGTTTCCATCTATTTCACTATCGGCCCTTCTTTGGTTACAACGTCATGTGGATGATGTGGAGATTAAAAATGCAGCATTCTCAATGGGAGCCTTTAAAGCTCCGGGGCCTGATGGTTTATAATCCCACTTCTTTCAATCCTAATGGGATATAGTAGGCATCAAGATCTACCATTTGGTAAAAGATATCTCTCTCAACCCCCAGAATATGAAGCTCATTAATCATGCTAACATTGTTCTTATTCCTAAAATAGAGAAC